GCTCTGTTCTTCAGGTGCGGAGTGCCGATGCGGTGAAGGTGGAGTTGGATTAAAGATGCACGTCAGGGAGAGAGCTGTCCAGCTGGAAGTGGGGTGCTTGACAGGCTGTGCAGAGGGAAGGCAGGAGGAGGAGGAAGAGCAGTTCAGGGTTCAAATAAGAGGGTGCGTTCAGCTCCGGGTGGGCTGGGGTTGCTGAGCCTTTAGGGTACCTAGGTGGAAACCTGCAGGCAGCCCCTGGAATGACACGGCTAGAGCCTGGGGAGGCCAGAGGAAGAGCTAAGCAGTCAGAGATGTGGGCTTCCGGGGGGCCCCTGAGCGCCAGGGTGGCGCCTGTGGCTTGGCTGGGAGTGAGCAGCCAGAGGAGGTGGGGCAGGCTGAGCTGGAGCATCCACTGCCCAAGGGCAGGGAAGTGGGCAGCAGGGCTGGTCACTGCCTCCCCCTGGTGCTGGCTCGGCACCACGCGGTGTGATTGGAAGGGCGGGTGGATGAATGACGCCCGCCCACCCCTGGCCTCTGCCATCAGTGGCCTTGTCTCTCAGGAGACCTGTTTGTTGCTCCTTGCCTCCCTTTGCACGGGTCTGAACCTGTGGGTCCTGCTCCACAGGCTTCGTGTGCGCACCCCGTGCTGCCACCTTGGGCTGGAGGTGCCAGGGGCAGAGGATCACCTGGGCCCAGCTACCTGTCCTGGGATGCTGGACTGGGGACCACGAGACAGGATGGGAAGACTTGGAGCCGTGCGATCACAGGTGCCACAGTGCTGGTGTGCAGTGGGGTTCCAGTGTCAGGGCGGAGGCCGGAGCCGCACAGGACAGGAGGGAGGAGCCGCCACAGCCTGGCCTGATCCCTGGGGCCTGGCTGGTATATGCGGACTACACCCACAGGCCTGCACAGCCGCCTGTCTGCTGTCCCTGCAGGGCTCGAGACCCCAGACCCTGGCCAGGAGGGACCTGGTGCAACAGAACCCAGATCCTGAAGAGCTGCTGCGTGGCTGTCTCTGCTAGATGCCCCTGTCCTGCCTATGTCCTCCCACCGAGTTCCCAGGAAGCCCTTGAGAGAAGGCAGCTGCCCATTCTGGCAGCAGCACAGGGGACAACCTGAGGACCACAGGGTCAGCAGGTGGCAGAGCCAGCACTGGGTCAGCTCTTCTGGTGGACACGGCAGTGAATCCTCAATCTTGGCTGCTTTTCCCCTGCTGCTGCTGCAGGCGAAGACCTGGAAGATGGTGAGGTGAGGGAGCCTAGGATGTGGAGGGGCAGGGCTGGAGGGGTCTTGTTCTTTGGGGACCCTCCCTGTGCCTAGGAGCTGAGTGCTGAGCTAAGGGCACCCCGGTCCTGGCTCCTTTCTGCCTGGTATGAAAGGAGCTGCAGGCAGTGAGCCCAGGCTGAGATGAGTCCAGACCTGCAAAGGTCACTGGCAGGGAGGCAGAGAGTACTGCTAGTGAAACCAGAGCTGCCGGCGCCTCTCAGGGGCCCCAGCCGGCCGCATCTGTCCAGCCCTCTGCCAGCCTCTGCCTATGTCAAGCAGCGTCCTTCCGGCAGGTGACCGGTTGGGACAGGCCTGAGGGACGGGAGCTGCCGGACAGTGTACCCCACGGATGGTGGGGGGCATAGAAGAAAGAGCACTGGGCATTCCCGGATGGCCTGCCTCATGGCCACCAGGACAGCCTGCTCCACAGCCATGGGACAGGTGGGCTCTCTGCAGCCATCCCGAAGTCCTCGGCTGGTAACCAGGTCGTGGGAACTAAAGTGGACAGAGCAGCAATTTTTAGAAGGCCAGAAGGCCAGGCCTGGCCGGAGGGAAAGCTGGAAGGCCGGGCACCAGGCATCCTGGAGGGACACTGACCTCTGGTGGCTTGAGACACAACAGCAAACCGGAGAAGGGGTTAAAACAAACATTTATTTAACAAATTATATTAAGAATACAGACAATCACACAGTGAATCTTCCCTCGGCCAAGTAGAGACACCTTGAATAAATACAGTTAAGGGGCCGTTCCTGAGGGCCTGGTCAGGAGCTGCCAGTGTGCAGGGCTGGCGGACCTGCTGCTGGGAGAACTCAGCCCCAGCAGCTATAGCGACCCCCAGCTTGCACCCGAACAGACAAAGAGCCGGGCTGACCTGATGTCCCAGGATGCCCGAGAGGGGTGGACACAGTGGGTACAGGCAGGGTAGACCACGGCCAGATCAATGAGGTCTGCTTTCCCGTGGTTCTTAGCGGCTGTGGGCGGGAGTCCCCGGATGTGGCAGGAGCCAGGGACTGCGGAGCCCTGGGCCGCGTGGATGGGGCAGGACGGTGCTCCTGACCTGTGCCCCGAGCCCACTGCACAGTGTGACGTGGAGACCGCAGGCCCGGGGGCGGCTGGGAAGTCCATCACAGGACTGGGAGCTGTGGCCAGCCTGGGGCATGTGCTTACAAGAGGACGCTGGCCCCGTGGACCTTGGGGCCAGATCCCGTCGGTGCCACTGGCCAGCCTTGCCTGTGCGATCCATCTGGAAGGATGGGTGGACGGTGCCTGCGTCTGGCTGTTTTTATCAGAACCACAGTAGAAATGTGCTTAGACTGCCCGGCCTAGCGCCTGGCAGGGAGAAGTGAGCAGCATCGGTCCCTTTGTCCTCCCACTGCCTTCTGGGGTGCACACGGGCCACGGAACAGGGCCACGGCACAGGAGATCAGCCACAGCAGCCGTGCTTCCCAACCACGGAGCAGGCCAGGGGTGGATCGACCTGTTCTTTCTTCATCCAGGGTAGGGTTCTCACCTCTCCAAGTGGCAGAGGGTGCGCTGGCAGAGTTCTTGGCCTTGGGGTGGGGAACAAGGCCTTATGCTAGAACCCCTGCCACCTGTGTCACTTCTGTGGCCTTTCAAAGGATACTGATGTTTTCTGGTCGGGGGAGAAGGGGATGCTGTGCTCTGGCTAAGTCCTTTGGGCAGGGACAGGAGCAGCTGGGGAACAAGCCAGAGCAGACCCAGCGTGGAGGATGTGGCCCCTTCACATTTCCAGCAGAACCCCGTGCTTCCTTTTCACGGTGGCCAGAGGGGTGGGGGAAGGGCTCCCCTGGGATTGGAAGGCTGCTGGACCCTCGATGTGGGCACAGCCCCGCCCTCAGCCCCGTGTCCGCTTGAGCCCCACACAGATGTGTCCACCTGGACACACACAGACACACACAGACACACGTACACAATCCCCCATGGCTTGGTCACCCTCACCCACCTCTCAGGAGGCCAGAAACAAGGGTTGGGAGCAACTAAAATCTAAGACGCCGAGCTGCCCTTGACACGGCCCCTGGCTGATTAGTTTAGGCTGCCGTTGTCACAGGGTCTGCAGTCAAGGTCGCCCAAAGTCAGCAATGCCAGGGGCGGCGCGGGCGGCCGAAGCATGCCCAGCAGGATTCTGGGGCCCTGTGCCAGTGTCCGTGGGGCCTCCGGAGCGCCCTCCTCCCTCCCGCTGCCACCCTCCGCTCTGCCTCCTGATCACGGGCAAAGGACCCCATGCTGCCCCTTCTGGGCCTCCACAGGCCGTCAGGCCCTGCTTCCCATCAGGGACGTGAGGACACAGAGACAGGCCGCGGGCAGAGTGCGCAAACCAGACGAAGTGGGCCCCAGAGCCCAGAGCTCTGCCCCCGCCCACCGGATGCCACCCCTCTGCGGGGCCTCGGGTTGTGCAGACCGCTTGGCTTGGGATCGGCCGCCACGAAGTCAGCAGTGGACACAGGTTCTCAGGTGCCCAGTGCCCAGGGATGCAGCTCGCTCATGAGCGACGATGCTGGGGCCAACTGGTCTGCTCTGTCCCGCTGAGCACCAGCCCTGCAATGGGCTCTCCCGGCCTCCAGACGCTGGCAGGTGAGCCGAGTACCTGGTGGCATGGGACAGCCCATGGGGGTAACCTAGGTTTTATGGAAGGGGACTGAGCGACCTCACCCCAACACCTGAATGAAGAGGTACTAAATGAAGACGGAGGCTGGCGGCAGAGGAGGGGCCCTGGGGACGGGGCCTGACTTGGGTGTGAGGTATTTGGGCCCTGCCTGGCTCCTCCATCATGTTTCTTGGGTGCCTTGGCCATCCCGCCAAACATGGGCTGAGTAAGGAACCACAGCCAGGGAGTCCATACTGGCCCCCCGGCTCTGACCACTCTTCAAGTCCCCAAGACAAAGCCCCCTGGAGACCCCAAGATGCCAGACACCCACATTGTGAGGAGCCTGGACAAGCCCCGACAGCCAGTCTCTGCACAGCAGCCCACGGGTGAGGGTCCAGGCCCCGGGGGGAATGACCACTGGTCCCCTGGAAGTGGGCGTGGGTCGGACTGGGTACTGCCAGTGGATACTTGGAGAAAGGCTGGCACTGGCCCAAATCCAGAGGCGTGGGATGAGGGCTTTTCAGGACAACTTGTTCCTGCTGGCAGGTACCGTGGAGATGGCCTGGCTCTGGGAGCAGCTGCGTTAGCTTGTGCTGTGACCCTCCAGGGCCGGGTACCCTCAGAGTGTGCCCCGTGGCCACTGGACAGGCACTGGGCCGAGGCAGATGGAGCTGTTGCTGGCACATGGTGTTACTCAGATGAGCCCTTGGGTGGGGTATGCGGAGAAGCCGGGCACCCGGGCAGCCGCACTCAGATCCTCGACGACGCTGGGTCACTCCGTCTCCCCGGAAGTGAGGTCTCCTCTGTGGTGGTGGCAGGGGCCTGCAGCTGTCCGGCCTCTGGACGTCCAGTGTGGGCCAGGTGGAGATGCCAAGGTGTCCAGAGGGGGCTGCTGGGAAAACTGGGGTTACCTGGCCCTGGAGCTGACAGGGACTTGCTCAAGGGGTCCCTCGGGGGGTGGCCAGGCCGAGGGTCTGCTGGGAGTGAAACAATGGCTTTGTGGGCTTCCCATGGTGGGTACTACGGACTACGGCACGCAGGTTAGTTGCGATTACAGACAACATCCCCAAGAAGGCTGGGAGCCCCACCAGGCAGGCTGGCGACCACACAGGACCGCTCGGCTGCCCGGGGATGGTGGCGGGGGGGGTGGGGGGGAAAGTAAGGTATCTCTAGGACGACTCGTCTGACAGACACGCTGGGTGTTGCGGTCACTACGGCACGCAGGTTAGTTGCGATTACAGACAACATCCCCAAGAAGGCTGGGAGCCCCACCAGGCAGGCTGGCGACCACACAGGACCGCTCGGCTGCCCGGGTATGGTGGCGTGGGAGGGGGTGGCTGGTGGGAAGGGCGGCAGGAGGCGGGTGAGGGAGGGGAGCGGCCTGCAGCCCCAGCCGCCCTGTCAGTAGTGTGGGCACCAGGTGGAGGCATCTTCTCCCCGAGGAGGCCGCTGGCACCTCAGGACTGAGGGATCTGCTGGCACCGTGTGGGGCTGGGCGGAAGCCTGGCGGCGGCGCTCTGCTCTGTGCGGAAGCTGTACTCGTACTGTGGGAGAGAGGGTGGGGACAGAGAGGCAGTGACTGCAGGGACACAGGAGGCCGCGGCAGCGCTGAGGTGCTGACGGCCCGAGGGCCCCGGAACGGTGGCTGGGCTGCCTGTTAGGGCGATGGAGTGAACACACCTCGAGGCGACAGGCTCGGGGGATAACTGTCGCCTTTACAAAGCGAGCCCTTGGCACCAGCGGCGCCCAGAGCCCTGATGCCAACGCAGACCTGTGCCCGCTTGTGCTGCCCCCTCCCACCTGCCAGCCCACGGGACCTCTCATTCCTGCCGCGAGAGGAGACTGCGGTCCCCTGAGGGGCAGACCTGTGATGTGACTCCAAGCCTAATGGGAGGCTGGCATCAGCCACCAGGCTCTGGGGACCCCTGAGGTGACCCGAGGGCCCTGGCACTGCCCAGCCCTCTGTGCTTTCCCTGTGGCACCCTGGGGACCCTCTGTGCTGATGAGCCTGGGCTGCTCAAGCCCTTGCTGTAGATCCAAGTCATGGCACAGGAGGGCGGTTCTGAGTCCATGGGACTCCAAGGAGGGTCACACCCTGATGGGGCGAGGGTGGGGGCTGCGGGTCATTTGAAGGCCCCAGGGTCTGCACCCCCAATAATGTGGAGCAGGCGCGTGACCAGAAAGCCCCTTAAGAACAGAGGAGCAGACGTGGTCTCTGCTGGGAATGTGGCCGGTGCCGAGTGGGCTGCTGCAGAGGACGGGATGTGGTCTCGCCTGACAGCACCCACGTCCAGGAGCAGCGTGGAGGGAGGGGGCGTGGCTGCCACAGCTCTGTGTCCCTGTCCCTGGGTGGACTCATCTCTAAGGTGTGTGTGGATGGGCACTGAGTGGATGCTCACTGAACATCCGTGGATAACAGAACAGAGCCTCCAGAGCAGCCCTGGGCCTCTTGCTTTCCTGCTGTTGGGTGGCCAGACATAGGCACCAGCAAAGGCTGGGATAATGCTGCCACCTGGTGGCTGCTTGGGTACATGCAGGCTGCCAATACCCACAGACTGCACCCACAGACCTCAGCCTGCGCTGGGTGTGGAGTCAGGCGTGAGCCCCAGGCCTCGTTCAGGGCAGTGGGGGAATGGGCCAGGCACTCTCAACACAGCCCAGCAGGAGTCCCACTTCCGAGGGCAGCCCAAGGAGGAAACGAGGAGGCTTGGGGACAGTGACATTCGTATCTCTAGAGCAGAAAAGGGGCCCGGCAGGGGCCACAGGGTCTGCAGGACAGCGCCTGTGTCCGAGGGGGATGCAGGCCGGGGTGGAGGGGGAGGCGCGGCAGCAGCTTCACCCAGGAGCACAGGTGGCAGCGCAGGGAAGTGGGGCTGAGGGCTGGGTGGGGTGTGTGAGGCGTTCCAGGAAATGCGAGGGTCGGGGCAGCACGAAGGTGCCCAGGTGAGGGGACAGCAGCTCCCTAGTCTCCCCGAACTGCAGCCCCTGAGCCTCTGCAGTTTCAACTCCCTCCCAGGTAAGTGAATGCTGCGGTCAGCGCAGGAGGTGGGCATGTGGAGCAGAAGACGTGGTGGGGCTCAGGCGGGAGGGAGATGGGGCCGGTGACCGGAGGCCAGGCCAGGGGCCGTGTCACGGGCAGAGCCAGGCCGGCCCAGGTCAGGGGTGAGAAGGGAGCCACAGGGCAGCCAGCCCCCAAATGTCCCCAGTCTGAGGATCCAGAGCCAGCGCTATGGCTTTCTGGGAGGCAGGGTGGGGGAGCACCGGCTGAGCAGGCTGAGGTCTTTGTGGCCAAGAGTAGGGCTGGTTCCCGGGGTAGCACAGATGGGCCTTGAAGATGAACTGCTAAATTCTGATTGCACTCGCGCCGGGCTGCGGAGGCGGGAGACAAGCGTCCGCCAGCCTCCTGACCTGCAGCCGGAGCACACGGAGACCAGGGGCCGGGCTGTGGGGAGAACACAGATTGCCATGGCCCCCACCTCTCCCTTGGGGTCCCCCCCTTTTTAGGTTATCTTGGCTGCAGAGAAGCACCCCCTCAGCTCTTATTTTCCCTAACTCTCCAAATGAAATTTCAGCATATGTCCCCCAACATAATCCCCCTTAGGCCATGGATAACCTTCCCACAGACGCTGTTCGCTGCCCAGGATGGCCGATCCCCAAAATGTTTGCCCAAGAGACTAGGGCCGCTTCTGGAAGCCCTTTCAGTCCCCCGGGCAAACAGCAAGTACCTTTGAAGGTGGATTTGGGCCTGGATCTGTTTACTCAAGACCTTAGTCTCCTGTATAAGGAAAACCTGCACTCGAGTACAAACAGCAAATCCTTTTTGAATTAAAAAATTTTTCAATTAAAAACCATTTGGTTCCAGAGCCCAGTCCAGCTGAGCAGCGCTGGACCAGCACGCCCTCTGGTGGCTTCAGGCTGTCACTGCAGCCACATGGCTGGCCGGGAAAGAGACTCCCAGGAAAGAGACGTCACTGTCGGGCTCAGTGGGGACCTTCCTGGAGGCCTGGGGGCCCCTGCGTGAGCCCCAGTTTCCACAAGCCTGTGCTCACTGAGAGGCCAGCGTGCCGTCGGTAGGAAGTGTCCGCTTCAGCTTTCAACTGCACCTGAGAAGCTCCAGCTTCACTGCAAAGGGGGCGCTCAGACCACACCCCACAAAGACAAGGTGGGCCAGCACGTTAGCAGGGAGCGGCCCAGAACGGGGAGTTTAACACGTTCAGGACGGGGCAGTAATCTGTCTTGCTGCCGGGGGCTCTGAACCCCCAGGGGTTTGTGTGTGACTGTCCCAGCCGGCCGCAGGGCACAGCTCCTTGGGGGGTACAGGGAAGGGCGCCCTGGACCAGCGCCAGGAGAGGTGTGGCCTGGAAACGTGAACTGCACATCTCCTGAAGGGAAGGAAAAGGTCACCCGGGCCTTCAGTGCCTTCCACTCTCTGCTCCGGATCTAGTCGCGCATCCCTCAGGGGCCCCAGCGAGGTGCTTCCAGCACCGGGGCCTTGGAGAGGAAAAAATTCCCAGCCCTCAGAGAGAGCTGGGGTAGTGTCCAGGCCCGGGGAGGACACAGGTGGGGCTGCGGGCGGACAGGGGAGTGCAGCAGGACGGCGCTGCGGTGATCTCGAGCCTCGGAAGGACGAGGTGCACAGGGCCAGCCCTGGGGCCCAGCTGGCCAACGAGGCCTGGGCAGGTGAGACAGGTGGGGGGGGCTGGGGCAGGCAGAGGGAGGCAGGTGTCTGCTCTTCACGCCCCTCCCTGGGGCCCCCAGAATACACAGTCCCCCACCCCTCTGTCTCCTGCTTCTAAATTCTCAGAGCCTTGGCTTCTTGCCCACAGCTCGGCCCTCTGGAAATGTCCACTTCCTCGAGGAGCCCGGGTCCTCCCAGCAGCCTCTGGGGCTCAGGCCTCTAGGAGGAGAGGGCAGCGCCAGCCCAGGCCGTGCTGGGTGGTGGTACCTGGCCTCTGCCTTCCTAGGAATGGGCCAGGCTGGGTTCTTGCTTTACTTTTTTTTTGGTACCAGGGATTGAACTTGGGACCTTGCACTTTGAAGAAGGTTGCTGTGGAACCACTGAGCTAAATTGCTGGCCCTTTTGTTTTGACCGGGTCATGCTGTGTAGCCTAGACTGGCCCTGAACTTCCCACTTTCCTGCCTCAGCCTGGAAATAGGAGTTTGTGACCACACCCAATGGCCAAACTGGTTTTCAGAGTGGTTTTCCAGCTTCCTCGGGCACTAGTGCTCAGCAGATGTGGGCACCTGTGCTTTAAGAACCCCAAGGGCTGCGGATTTAGCTCAGTGGTTCTGCTGCCTGCCTCGCAAGTGTAAGGTCCCAAGTTTGGTTCCCAGTACCCTCCCACCCCGAAGAAGGACCCCAAGTAATTCTGCTCACCAGCCAGGTCTGGAAAGCCCTGGCTAAGTCCACTCCCCAGGAAAGTGCTGGGCAGAGAAGGTGCACTCTGGCCTGAGGAGTCCCTGTTCCCTGCTAGGACTTCAGCTCCCCAGAGACACAGAAGGTTGGATCAAAGGCGGGAAGCCACAGGTGCTTCACCTGGAGACCGGGGGCACCAGAGTTTGTGGGGGAAACCAGAATGCTCTGGAGCTAAGAGCACCTCGTTCAACACCCCCATTTGGGGTGAGCCCCACCAGAGCTTGTGGACGGCGTGTACTCATGGCCCATGTTCTCTACGAAGGTGACAGGACTGGGGGCTGCTAATCCCCAGTCCCCAGGGCCCTGGCAGTACCTGGACAGAACCTGCACGGCCTTCCCAGCGCAGGGGAGGAATCAGGGGTCTGTGGGAGGCTGAGCCTCCTGACCAAGGCCGTGAGGACTGGGAAATAGCTGGGTGGCTCCTTAGCAGCCGACCCCTGGGGCTGGACAGGAGGCGAGGGCTCCTGCGGCCTCTGCGGTCACCCTGGACAGAGGGCCCATCTCAGTGTAGTTCATGCCACACCTCAACTCCCCACGCATCCGGGCACCGTTTGTCCTCATCCCACAGTCCGGCTTGGCGAGCTGCTGGGTGATCCCAGGACCAATCACTGCGGCTGCCCTGTCCTCTGCAAGAGCGCCATGAGCTTGGAAAGTGCGTCTTTCACCACAGGGGCAGTTGAGGTGGCCCCACCGGAGCACCCACCTGCCGGCGAGGCTGCTCAGCTCTGCAGAGACCTCTTCCCGGTGGCTTCTCGGATCCGCTCCCTTGCTCTGCCAGGCATCACCTGCACCTCTGCCTCGCCGAGTGCTGTGCTGTCTGTCTGGGACGCACTGCTCCAGGAGTGGCAAAGTCCTACTTGCCCTCCATGCCCCAGCTGAAGGGCCCTTGTTCCGGGAAGCACCCGTCACCTTGGGCTCCTCAAGCTTGGGGTGGCCACGGCATGGCAGCCAGCTCTGCAGCTCCACGGCCTGGTGAGCTCACGGGTAGGACGTGGACAGGCCAGGCGCTGGGCACAGTTTAACACAAGGAGAGACAGTGGCTAGTTGGGTGGCTCAGCTCTTGGGCCGGTCTCTGGTTTTCAGTCTTCTGGGGCAGCTGCCGCTTGTGGGCCCAGCCTGGGTCCTCCG